CAAGCAACTAACATAATCTATATTAAAGTTTTTTTTTAAAAGCTATTTAAAAATTGAACACTTTGAGATACAAAAAACTAAATATTTTCTGATTTAGTTATCTTTCTTACACGATTTAGGAATTTGAATTAATAGTGATAAAAATCACTAATAATAAAATAATAATAAAAATAAAAACAATGAAAATCAGACTTAATATTCGAATTTAAGTGTTTTTTTTTAATATTTATAAAATAAAATGTTTTTGTAAAACATTTATAAAAATAAAAACAATAAAAATCAGACTTAATATCGAATTTAAGTGTTTTTGGTTTTTTTTTTTTAACATTTATAATTTGTATACTACGGAAATATTATGAAAAATTATATTAATTTCCGCTTTTCATTTATTTTTTAGTGCTGTTCGCTGGCACTTTGTTTATTTTAATATATAAATATAAACTTATGTTAGTTGTGTACGGATTGTTAACATGAGTAAAGTAAAGAAGTTTAATTCATAATTAATATGAATTCAAATTTAATAAAATAATATCATTCACATAGAGAATATTTTCAGATTCGTTGTTATTTGGGATATACGAGATTCAATATAATCTCGAATGATTCTTATCAGAATTGTACGATTTATGAAAAGAGTGCCTCAAATCTGATTTGTCACTATATATATATATTAGTATATTATATTATATTATTTTATATATTATATATATATATAGTATATTATATTATATTATATATTATATATATTATATTATTATTATATTATATTATATTAGTTATATATTATATTAGTTATTATATTATATTATAGTATATTATATTAGTTCATTTCTAGAAAAAGAAATCATCATCATAAAATTTACTACAAACTCAAAATTGTTTTTAACTCCTAAGTGGATGACTGTAATATAGTAAACCTAGTGCAATTCATATACAGTGTACACAATTTAAATATATGAGTTAATTATTTAAATAAATAATGTTGAAAATGTATTATTCTATCATAAAAAAACTAAAAAAAAAACCACTAGCAATCAAACTTACTCAGCAATATCAATAATAGCAGACTAGAAAACAACAATTACTTTACTTAGAAAATAAGTACTGATAACCTACCCTAATAAGCTATCTCTTTTCAAGCCGAAACAATCAAAGATATAATGCATGTCCGTTTCTTCTTTTATTTAACTTTTTAAAATTTCTATAAGTTGTAGAAGTAGCTTCTACAAGATATATTATATACAAGGGTTCCTATATATTAGTGACTGAAAGAACTGCATTAAACGTTGCAGTATCGATAAATTCACTGTTCATCATAGTTCTATTACATGAACGCTAGATCGGTATGCGTTTTTTATTGAAAAATATGAAATCTCTAAACCACCTCCCGCAGAATTTAAAACATCATTTTTATATAAAAACTACTAACAAGCAGAGGCGACATTTATCCTATTCCTTGTTTGTATAATCAATCTAAAAATTGCATATACCAGTTGGTGTTAAATGGCGTGTGTAGTTATTGTTAGTGTTATTAATTTTTTAAACCTCGATATCTAGAGAAGTACTCACATATTGTATAGTGGAGAAAGTTGCTCAAAATAGATTTGCCCGAAAATCAAAATCGTGCCGAAAACAATTATATAAAATAATAAAAAAAAAAAGAAAATTTAGTTTTCACGTCAATATGACGATAGTGACTATTTTACTTAATAGAAACTATTGTATATAATGAAACCCTATGCTCCACCTAGGAGTGAAGGGCACCAGTAAAGTAAAAGTAATGAATTTAATAGAGAGGTTTCGAAAAGTAGTCAACTACAACAACAAAAACTCTCTATATATTATTTTAATCAATTGAGAAAAGAAAACAATTTTTAGTTGAATAATTCAAAAAATACCATTAATATCCGAATGATCGTATATTTTTATGGGTAATTGATATCATGTGTAAACTGAACAGACTTTCTATTCTGTGTTTATTTTACATTTAATGTTAATATTAACAACAAATCACTAGTAATTGACATTCACATAAGCATATCTCATTTTGTGTAATTATTTTCAAATGGAAAACAAATACACACACACAATGTCTCATACTAATTTAATTAAGATAGTAAACTGTTTTTATAAATATTAATTATAAATTCAGTAATGTATACTTAATTAGTGATGGATAACTAGTTATACATATTTATATATTATAAATATAGTTTTGTATTCTTTTAGCTTCGCGAAAATTGAACGCATGGCATTATTATTTTTATTATCGAAAAAACAGAAAAACTTGTATTTCATAAACCAACAAATCAATTTAAATTGATTGGTGAGTAATAGAATTTGAGATAAGAAAATTCACAAAAATATTTTTTAGATTTCGGTGAAATATAATTTTTACTTACCACTAGAAAAGTGAGTATTATAACAGGAAATATTTTGAAATAGATTAAAGTTGCTATTATAATATAAACCACAGTCATAATTTTAGTTTTCTGGCCCAGCAGATTCTGATATTTAAAAGTATAATAAATAAGCACATATTCCTGTATTAATAATAGGACATACTCCATGTATGAAAGGAACTCATAGCCGCTACTGTAATTATATGACATCATAACCGTGTAACTAAAAAGTTCCAGACACAAGCCATTAACACTTATACCTGTAATTAATTAATTATTACTTCAAATAATTCAAATGACTCAATCTAATACCTTTTGATGACTTATTTTCTCTAATTGTATTTATTTGAGGTACTTTTATAACCAGACATGACGACACTGTTATAAGACTAAGTAAGTCTGCAATTACTAAAATAATACCTTTGTCAAAGTAATTAGCTATAACTGAGCTAAGTCCTTCGGTTGACATTGTTATGTGTTGTAGGCGTTATGTAAAATTTATTTAAATATTCTGGAATATAATATATTTTATGTTTAAATTATTCAGTTAAACTATTTAAATGTTATTTTACTTACAACTACAGTTTTACATAGGAACAAAGCAAACAGGTGATCTTCCTTATAAATTTAGAAATATACTATAGTTTTACAAGTAGAGTATATTTTTAAATTCTAACAATTCTGCTTGACTGTTGTGTACAATCTCGTACTGGTCGCAAACTACATACACAACAGAGAAAAATTTGTTTAAAAAAATAATAATCTTGCTCTCTCTGAGCAATTTAGGCTATGCTCACAACTAAACAATATGTATCTAAACAAAGTTGTATTGTTTTAAACAATATAAAAGAACAAATTTATGTTTTTTTTATTGCAATAACATGGTTTTATTATTGCATATTTATATTGTGATATATTTATAATACAAGGACTAGTTAATAATGAATTAATAAATTCGTACATGCAATAATAGGTACAGTACGCTTGAAAATAACTGACTAGCAAATTTTGTAACTAGCATATTTTGTAACTAGCCTGCGGTTTAATAAATCTTTTTTTTAATAATCTTTTTTTTTTGTAATATTGTGAATCTATTACACTATACAAATTACTAGTGTGTTATTGTTAAACAATTGTGGTATGTTATGCCATTTGTACTTATCAAAACTTTTTCTTTTCACAAAAATTTTTTGCTGATTTGCATATAATCATAAACAAATGCATTAAAGAAATTATTGAAATTATAAAAAATTCACGCGGTTTTTTTTAAAATAATATTTTGTACTATATTGTAATATATTATATATATAACATAATATATTATTATATATAATATATTGCAATCATAGGCGTACCCAGGGCCGAAATTAGAGGACTCTGATATGCTGATATGGTATTATATATTTTTAAGTGTACTAAGGTATTCAAGACAATAATAAAACATTGAAATGTAGGGGGCGTGTGCCCTTCTGTCCATACTTGTATACGCTCATTATTCCAATATATAAATAACTTAACTATAAAGTCCTACTTTTAGTATTCTTTACTGTTGAGAAGTCCACATTTGTTATCAAAATTCTGTATGCAAAATGTACAATGAAGTTATATTCAAGCTTTGAAAATTTTTTACCAGATAAAATAAGTACATAAGAAGTAACGAAATTTGTATATATTTATGTACATATGTAGAGCCGCATGACTCTACCATTAGGAATAGGAATTATTCTTGAATCATAACAACTGCCGTTTGTTGTAATAAATGAATAATATTATTGTATGAATTGCAATAAAGGTTGAGCAGCGGATATTGTAATCGACTATTAATGCTAGATGTCGAACAATTAATGAAACAATATATTCGAATTATGCATTGAATGTATACGATGGGTTTACTAAACATATGGATTTGTTTGTGTATAGAAGACATCGGTTTGTATATAGAACTAATTAATTTGTATAAGTAATTATGGAAATAAAATTAGATGCTTTAATTATTATAATAAGCTAAATGAACTATTGTATAGATTTATTTTTAAAAAGTGTTAATTGTCTGTGTTAATTATGGAACAATAATAACCCAATGATATGAAATGTATTATTACAGATTATTATAGCATGATTATAAATTCATTAATCATTAATTATTAAAATTTCTCATCAAATTTTTATTTTTTGAGTTTACTATAAACTAAAAATATTTATAAATTGCTTTGAAATCATGAATAAAATTATAAATACATAATTAAGAATTAAGAGTAAATGAAAAATGAACACATTTTGTACAGTACTTTTATAAAAAGCCGCTGTAAAGTAAAAATGTTTTTAATTGTTGTATTTGATGATTTACTTGTTAATTTTTTAAGTAAGACTTAGATCTTTGAATGTTTCAATCCTAATTAAAAAAAAAATAATATTTAAGATAAAATTAAATTCTTAAATATATCACGTTGAGACATCTACAAGAAGAAGAATAAATCTATGACATTGTACGAAAAAGACAAAACATAAGAATTCCTGAAAACTGGCAACATATCTATAGTGTTCTCTATTGCACTTAATTCGTATGGTAAAATCATTCAGTCGTTGTCTTTTGTTGGAGTTGGAAATTTTAGAAAATTTGTGGAAGAATTGATAATTGCTTACAAAAATAAAAATTCCATTGCAAAAATTTGTGTTCTAAGTTAAAAATTTGTATTTTATTTGTGTAAATGATTAGTATATAAAAAATAAATAATTTTTTAAAAGAATATATTTTATAAAATCTTAAATAACGCTGCGAAGAAAAAGCACAAGGTGAGCGATGTAATTTTTGGAAGAAAAATTATTTTATTTGGAAAACTTAGTAAATAGAAGAATTTAAAACAAACTAAACAAAAACCAGAATTTTTAATAGATTATAAATATGAAAATTAAAAGTTATTTGCGTTATTAATTAAGAAGTACCAAACGATTTTTATTTCACGCAGGAATGAAAAAAAAATCAGTTCTGGGTGTCGCGTATGTGGTAACAGCGCCGTATATGCTAACGTCGACGTTGACGTTACTTTATTTACGTTTTGTTCTGCTTCCCAGCACATTTTTTTGTACATATTTGCTACGCAGTGTTGCATTACAGGTGCGGAGAAATGTGCCTTAAAATTCTAAATATAAAGCCAAATGTAAAGTGTGTAAAGGACATTTTCATATTCATTAATTTGCTTTTAAAATAATTTATGTTGAAATATGTATGGAGCCTAATAGCCACAAACTTAATGGACGGTGTAACATTTTTAGTTTGTTTGCATTTCCACTTTAACTTAAGGAATTTCGTTAAAATTTTTTTAAAATAATTTACCTAATCCCTACGTAAAAGTTTCACACCATTTATGAATTTATTTTTTGCTTAAATTAACGTATTAATTATTTATAATAAATTTCAATTTATTTATATTGTGTATATAAATTATTGTCAAATTAATTCATTCATAAAAATTAAATATTTTTTTTCTGATATTTAATACGCACATATGGTTTTGTTTATGGTTTGTTTAAATTTCCAAATGTATTGATATGCTTTTAAAGAATATTGTTTTTATATATGATTATTGATTGGGTTACATAAATGGGATGTGCTTACTTCCTCTTGCCACTACAAGGCAGTGGTCAAATATGTGTGCAATTGAAATACATTGCGACCCATGATTTAATTAATTTTCACATTTGTTTCTTCAACTTGGGTGTGAACAATATCTGATATTGTGCTTAAATCTAACAAAAATGTGAATAAAAGTGCTGTGTTATTTTTTGTACTAAGCTTCTGCTTTGTAACTGCCTAATTAGTAATGTATATAATGTTTCCTAAATCTTATATAAATTACAATTGAAAACAGTTTATAAAAATAAAAATAAATAAATTTCTCTAAAGTATTTATTTAAATGCATTTTATATAAATATGCATTTATGCTGATTCTAATTTATTTTTGGTAATACGCCATCGCATTTGAATTTGTTCATATTATTTTGTTCACCTCGAAATTAATGTATAAAGTAATTAAATAAAAAAATGCGTACTTTTATCGAAAACTTTTGTGGTATTTTAGAGCATTCGCTAGAGCTCTTGAAGTTTTAAAAACCTTGAAAATAAAACATTTTTAATATTTTCAATTATTTTTGTACAAAAACTTTGAATATAAAACAAAAATATGCTCTAAATTTCATATTTGTATTGCCATTAGCTTAAAATTTATTAATATATCTAATTTATAATAGAAATGTATATTACTAACTGGTATATAAAAAAGCTCTTAGCCCCCCATTTATATTCTTATTCCTTTTTTCAGTCCCTTATTCACATTTTAATCGTAGTATATGATTAACTATTAACTTTTAATTCTGTTAAAATACGACAAGAGTTGAAAAGCTTAATTTTATTTTTGTAATGTAAACTACACAATTTGCATAGTTCCTGCTAAGAAATGCTTCAAATTTTGACCTTAAATCAGAAAAGCTAAAGATCTTGTCACTCTTGACAAACAATAGTAAACTATTTACCAAGTAAATAACAATAGTGAATTCCCAGAAGGAATTTTGGTTTGTTCTTCAATATTGTTCCATTCTACTCCTCAGCACTTCTTAAGTCTGCTTATTTCTGGTGATCCTCTGCATCTGATTTGCTATATTCAAAAGCAAAGACTCACATATACTCTTACAACGTGAGCTATTCCTCTTAATATCTATGATTCGTCATATTTCACAGTGACTTCCGTATATGTTAGTTGCAGCAGTTTTTCACAAATTCTTAGCATGTAGTTTTTGTTTTTCTCAAATATACTTTATGATTGAAATTTAGCTTACAGAAGCAAGTTTACTGAAATGAAAAAAATAAACATTTGAAAATATTTAGTATTACCTGAAATATATTAATTTGAAAGATCTCTTCGATGGAAAATTTTACGACGTAGTAAAGTATTTCCTTTTCGAAGTATTTCCTTTTCGAATACAGGTAAATTCTTAAGTATATTTCTTTAAGTATGTTGCATTAGGGTGCCATTAAGGTATATGGGCAAATTTTTGTTCGTTAAATTGGTTGTTTATTTTTAATAGATCTATAACTTTTAGAAAGACAGTTTTTATGTAAAATTAAATATGTCGGAGATATAAGCAATCAAAAATGAATTTTATGGAAAAAATCGTTACTTTCCAATCTTTGGGGCTCTTGGGGCACCATTTTCACTTATCCAATTGAACTAAAATTTCACACAGATTATTTTTTTAGTAAAATGAACCGATCTGGGGGTGCTGTGGGCAATTTTCCGACTTTCGAAAATTAATGGCACCCTAATGTTGCATATATGTAATATACATATGAATATGGCGAATTGACAGAATATCTCCAGATCTTAAAAGTCATCAGAAGTAACTTTGTCATTTTTTTTTTTTCAAAAATTTCTACAATAATTTAACTTCTTTTCTGCATTTTTAATAAGTTATTCCCAAGGAAGTGATTAAAATAATATAGACTTTATGCTCATCGTCGGATCATCGACTCCAGTCCATAAATATTTATTACAACGGGAAATGTCGACGTTATATGTTTCATACGTATTAATTACTTATTTAGTTGGCCATTATAAACGTGAATCGTTCTTGGCCGCGTCTTGTACCCTCCTTCAGTCAACCCGATTAGTGGCTTGCTAGCGCTAGTTGGTAGTACCGAGTGTCTTCATATCGTTAATGACTGGTCTTTGCACTGATGATGCGGACGTGTCTACCACATTTTTCGTCAGCGGATATCGCATCAAAAATCTTTCTAGCTTTACAATTTTCTTCCATTCGCAAGACATGATCAAGGCAGAGTAGTCGCGATATCGCTCGTACAGCTCAGCATTCCATATTTTTGGATATTCGTTGCCAACACATAAGGGACCATAAATCTTTCGATGAATTTTTCTCTCGAATGCTCTTAACACTTTCTCATCATTGTTGGTTATTGTCCACGCTTCTACACAGTTCAGAAGGATAGGCATTCGTTAAAAATGTAGTTTAATTAAAAGCTTTATACTTAATATTATACCTATTTTAAAATAAAATGTACTATAGGGTTCAAGTGATTCAAGTGACTATATCTTTTTTGAAATTATTTTTTATTGATTCAAATTACAAAAATTGGTGGAAATAATCAAAATTTCAGAATCCGTTTACTGTAGCTCGATGTGGCAACATTTTGAGTTACATGCTTTACGAATGCGAATTTTATACCTGTACAATGGCTTTTTTCATCGCATCCATAGTGGCATATTTTTAGGTCTCACCTTGCTCGTGCAAGCGTAACAACTCCTTCGCTCGTTCGAGTCTAACTTTTTGTTGCTTTTATGTAAGATCTTCTGCCTTTTAGAACTTGTAAGGCTTTATCTTGAACTTATTTTGAAATATACGTCGGATGTTTCGTTAGCATATTTTCAGTTTTTTGGCTATTTGATAACCACTACGACGTAAATTTCGTTCAAGTCGAGCCTTCAGTTTCCAAACCATTTCAGGCGATGTTGCTGTTTTTTTTTTCGTCTACCAACATAGCGTTTGTCTATGCTGTCTGTACTATTATAACAATTCTTAGATTCGTTATATTATGTGAACTAGATTTATTTTTAAAACTTCTGACCTATGCTTGCAAAACTCCTTATAGGGTAACTCTAAAACGTTTGGGGTCATAAATAGCTTATTCTATATAGTTTGTAGGGCAGGGGTTGAATGTCAAAAAACCGCATAATAAATATGTTATAATTTCCTTACCTGAGGGAAGTAAATATTTATTAACAAAATGAACAATCGATCATTGATTGTTCTAAAGAAAGAAATCAAAGTTTATTAGCAAAATTTATAATAGATCCTGTAAAAGATTTTGCTATTTCCGCATTTTCATCTTCAATTTCTTTTATAAAAAAATGTGTTATATGTTACATCTTCAACTTAAATTTCGTTACAAAATAGTGTGAAAATAGATAACTTCTTTGGGTACCCACCCATCTTCATTTACAAAACTCATCTTTACAATACACATAATGGTGGTACACAATCATCTTTTGATCATCCTTTATAAAATAAAATGAAAATTTATTCGCACAGGTAAAAAAGAGAAACTGAAGAGTAAAGAAGAAGGTCTGGGAAAATCCTAAAAATCAGGTAAATAACATAACGTCGTTGTGCGTTGAACGGTTAAAATTATTATGTTGCCGTCTGCTGTGCTTGCTTGCTTGCTTGTTTAGCAGATTTGTCAGTTTGCCCGCCCTTTTCCTTCCTACCTTTGCCGTCGTTGTCATAGAACGCCAAGCAAGATCAATTCAATTCTTGCAGTCTTATAATGAAAACAAATACAACAACAGCAACAACAACAACAACAAAACCTAAGACATGTTGAAAGTTATTGCAAAAGAGAGAGCCAAAGTGAACTCAGTTGTCCGCGCAGAGACAACTGACAACTGAAAATGGCATTTGTAAAACGAGCTTCAAATAAATAAGAAAAAAAAACAAGTCGAAGATGATACGTTACGTTACGTTACGATACTTGCTGATGAGAAAAATCTTATATTTTTTGCAATTTTTTTTCTCTCGGTTGTCAATCTGTTCTTCAACGTTGCAGTTTTGATATGCTTTAGGTTGTTTCAGGGTTATTAACTGTCCAAAAGGAAAAGTGAATAAAGTGATAGACGAGGGCAAAAGGCCGAAGAAAGGTTAAAATGTTATAACAAGAATTTCAGCCCGGCAAGGACAGCAGTATCGACTTAAGTTTTAAAGTTTTCTACAAACAGTTTGTTAT